ACGTGGACGAAGTGCATGTGGTTGTGGACAGGCATCTGATTACTGGTCAGAACGAACAGTCGACGCTCACTGCCGTTCAGAATCTTATGATTCAATGCAATCAAAGGCAAAACAAGTCTTTAAGAGATCGTTGATTGAGAAATGGATCTAAAATTGAGTTTTCGTTATAAATAATTTAAATTATTATTAAATCTTCAGATTTAAATTCAGTTTAAAAGATATTTTGTTAAAATTTATTATAAATTAAAATTCATTATAAAATAATATATATATGATATATATATCCGAATGTTTAAACCTATTAATGACTCAATAATAACATTTATTTTATACCGGTTTTAATGAAATTAAAATCAAATGTTGAATAAAATTCATAATTTAATCAAAAAGTGTTGTGATATTTAACAAACGAAACGGCAGCCAATTCTTTGCAAAACTCCTCGATTACTATCAAAGCCTCGATTATTCGGGAAGTCTTCTCGTCATTCACTTCATTCACTTCTTCACTCGTTTTATCGGATTCTCCTAACAGTGCTCTTCTGGTTATCTGCAGTTTATCTCTCAGACCATTCAAGCCCTGCACTGATATCTGCAACTCATCCACCAGTTTATGCAGAATTGAAAACAGAGATCGAGTTCCGCGAACTGGATATCAAATCATTCATTCATATTATAAACTCATTTAAATACAATTTAAATGATAGATACCTAGAGGAATGGTAGGATCCAAGAGGTACTCATTAACGTATTGATTCGGGAACAATGCGAGTCTCGAGATCAAAGACGTCACCTTTAATGGGATTAACCATCAAATTAATTGACATTCAAATAAGGATCGATAGTTTGATACATACTTGGAGGTTGACTTCATACGGCAGATCAACCATATACTGCAAGTTATCGAATATCATCGACAGAAAGGGTCCCTCAAAGAACTCTTTGGTCTTTGAGTTGTGTCTGACCTTTGAGTCGCCGTTAATCTCACTAACAATCTGTTGATCAGATGATTGCACTTCTTGTGAATCGTCTAAAATCACGTTTTCTGTCGACCAGTTCTTCCATTTGTTACAAATCACTCCAATCTCTTGGAAGTGTTTTTGCGCTTCTC